TTCCAATCGGTGTATATGAAAATAAACTGTTCTCTTAGTGACAAAAAAACAAACATTTTGAGTCTGACACTTATTTTCCCAGTCATAAATATTTTACATTTACTAAACTAGAACATAAAGCTTATAAAAATAGCAGATTGGAATATCTCAGATAGTGGAAAGTGAGTGTGGCAGAAAATTTAGCATATAAATTGATACAATCATGAACTGTTAATAATAATAAGTCTGGCTGATTTACGAAATTGGCAAATGAGTCTGGTAATATCTTCAAAATCGAAAAAATATAATATTTTTGCTTTTATTTTATTTTCAAACGCTTCTATGAAAAATTTCCGGAAATTTTTCTTTTGGTGGGTACCCTGAACGAAATTATACTGAAAATTTTTTTATGCATATGTTTTATATGTTGTTCTATGGCCAGCTTTGAAAATTTGATTTTAGTCGTTTTAATGTATGTCTGTCAAGTTTTGAAATTTGGATATTTTGGTGTAAAATTTTCTTACCCAATACCTACCACTGGTGCCTAAATTATTATCGGTAAATTTTTGCTCACTCACGCATATTTTAAGAAAAATATCAATCGTCTTCGACTCAGGATAAATTTCAAAATATTCGTAAGATCGAAAAAAATTTCGGATATAATTTAGGCACTGAAAATATAGGTCTGGCTGACAATTAAAATTACGAAGGCCTGCCAGACTCACAAGTAGTGTAAGGCCGAAGGTTCGGTTACGGTTTTGGCCAACTTCGGCTTAAAATAAGAGTTTCTACTACAGTTTCGGTTTCGGCGGAAAACTGGCCGAAACTGCAGCCAACTACGAAACTACTTTCGAAAGTTTACGTATCACACTTGGTTGTGTCCGGCACAATGGCGACTGTGCCGGGTGCCATTCCTACACAGTGCACGTACTTCTCTGCTTTGTTTCAAGTGAACAGTCTTCAGTGCTCCTGGCCTAATTTATTCGTATAAAAGGAGCATTTTTTTAGGTGAAACGTTGAAAAAATATTATTTCTAGCCTACAACGTTAGACTGTTTACTTATGAATATTAATTTAATTATAAGTAACAAACATATTTAATTATCTGAATTTGTTTTTTTTTTTTAAATAAAAATTACATTATATATAATTCCCTTCATAATACTATTTTTTGTTAGAAAAAATCTAGAGACAGATGCAGAAATGATTGCTACTTTGTAATTCACTTATTTTTTTTTTTTTAGTTTCAAAAGTAATAAAAAAAAACAATGTCAATAAATTTATTAATGGCTTCTTTTGATCACATAAATAAATAGGTAATAAGTAAATGTAGCTAAAATTTATAATACGAGTTAATTAGTCTTAAACAAGGATATTGCAAATTTAATAAGAGATTGCCTTAAAAGAAAGTTCTTATTTCTGTTTCGGTTTCGACTAAGAAAGGAGCCGAAATTGGGTTTCGGTTTCGGTTATAAAACCGTATTTCGGTCGGACCTGACAAGCCAGGTAGTTAAACGAGGAGAGGAATAGTAATCGAACGTGCAGATTTTAGCGCGCCTGACGATCATTAGACAAGTCTGGCAAGGCTTTCGGGGTATTCCACATTAGCCAGATTGTATTTTAAGCTGTTATCATAATATACATTTTTCTAGTACTGCACTTGTAACAGGGATCCTTACTGGGCATTGCCAACTAAAAGGACACCTTAGTAAACTGAGAGTAGTAGAAAATAGTGAGTGAAGATTCTGTGAGGAGAAGGACGAAACCTTCATTTACATTCTAACTGAATGTGTAGCACTCCAGAATCCAAGGGCACTATACCTAGGAGCATATCAAATAGAAACTTGAAGCCACTCCAAATCCGACACTTCCTTGAGAAGATATAATTTAAAGGGTCGTTATAGGCATTGAGACATTTCCTTGCTGCATTAGCGACAGAAGGGAGCACAATAGATATTTTAGGTCTCAGTGTATTAACACCCCATTCCCAACATAACATAGCGAGAAAACTGCAAAATAATGAAATCCACAAATCCCAGTTCATATTTTGGACATCCAACTACTATTATTTTTAAAATTTTAAATTCTGACAAACTGTCAGTATATTTTTTAGTCATTAAGATTACATATACGTTAAAATTAGTTATTTTTGTTTAGAATCGATAAAAAATAACATTTTAATTTTATTTGGGCCACATTTAAAAAAGTAAATTTTAATCAAATTGTATGAAACTAATTTATTTACGAGTATTAAAATTAAAAACCTAAAAGTGGCGGTGGAGCTGAGGACAGAGCATTTGCCTTCCATGCGAATAGCCTGGGTTCGAATCTGGACTATATAGGGGCAAATTTTTTTTTATGTTTTTTATTTAATAAATTAATAAAATTTATAAATTATTGTAAAATGGCTTATTTTGTCTAAACCTAAAATAATTTTTTAAATTTGTAAATTTTCGTTAGTAGTTCGTAGAAAAAATATACTGCACAACTCGAGTGGATTGTCCATGTCTACTCTTGTTGCGAAAATTAGGGAAATTTTTGTGATGAAAATTATTGTGATGAAAATTATTCAGTTTTTTCACTTATATATGATATTTTATTCATTTTCATAGATTCGCCAGAATTTTTTTACTTAACTTCAGTATACCTCTAGAACTATTATATTTTATATGACTAGGGTTAGGGCTTTAGCCCCCCCAGATCTGATGACATAACTTCGCCCATGGTCTCGGGACATAACGAGGTATAGGGAGAAACGAGATTGCAGATAGTCTTGCAAGGAAAGGGGTTCAAACACCCTTTGTAAGACCTGAGCCGTTCTACGGTATCAGCAGTAATATAATATAAGGAGAGATTAAAAAAGAATTTGGCAGTAGAAGAACCGATAATTGGAACAATCTTTTGGAGCTGAGACAGGCCAAGATACTTCTGGGTGAATATAACAAGAAAAGATCGGAAGCCTGCATCTGCCTGAGCAAGAACAGGCTACGTATTGTAACAGGGATCCTTACCGGACATTGCCGACTAAAAGGACACATAAGTAAACTGAGAGTAGTAGAGGATAGTGAGTGCAGATTCTGTGAGGAGGACGAAACCTCCATTCACATCCTATCTGAATGTGTAGCACTCCAGAATCCAAGGGCACTATATCTAGGAGGATATCAAATAGAAGAAGGAGATTTACCTAACTTGAAGCCACTTCAAATCCTACACTTCCTTGAGAAAATAGGAATGGAAGGGTCGTTATAGGCATTGAGACATTTTCTTAGTGAATGTCTCTCATTGTAGGGAGACGGGCATTTGGAAAAACATAGGGATTAAGACAAAAAATTGTCCACTGGCTATATTCGGCAGTAACAAGACTAATGATAGTTGGTGGCCAAAAGTAAACCAGAAAATAGCCCTCAATACCCTCTCAGGGGTTCAGAGGCTGGCATTCCTTTGTATTACACGAGCACTGAGAAGTACACCGACAGCTTCTATGGAAATCATTCTAAACCTTCCATCCCTTGACCTAGTCATAAAAGGGGAGGCCAGAATGAGTGCATACAGACTTGAAATTTTAAACAACTGGAACATATAAAACATACTAGAATAACACATGAAGTAAATGATTCTAAAACATGGGATCAGATTACATGACACTTCTCCTAACCTTCAAAACAGACTCTTCCAGATCAACTGCAACTAGGTAAATAAGGAGATAGATAAATACTTGCTTAGCGGTCTCGTATGGTATACGGATGGATCTAAAACTAACAAGGGAACAGGCTCTGGCTTACATGGACTTAAACTCAAATGCGATATCATCGTCTCACTGGGAAAACATACCACTGTATTTCAATCTGAAATACATGCAATCGAATTGTGTGTACGAATTTAAGAAGGAAGTACAAAAAACAAACCATTCTAATTCTCTAGATAGTCAAAGCTTGTCTGGAACTGCCTTGGAATACTAAATGATCTGGCAACCCATAACAAGGTAAAACTAGATCCAAGGAAATGAAAAGGCTGATGAACTCGCCAAAGAATGATCAGAACTGCTATTCACAGGACCCGAACCTGTATTTGGGATAAGCAAAACCTCTGCTCGGTGGCAGTGAATAACCACAAAACACCAATTTCACTGGCAACATATAAGAGGGCACAGAAACAGTAAGCTCATGCTAAGGGGACCAAACCCACGCATGGCTACTGAGGCACTACAACTTGCAAGGCCTCAGATATCCACCATTGTGGGATTACTAACAGGGCACTGCTTGCTGAAACACCTTCATGTGATGGGATTACACAATGATCCCACTACTTGTAGACTTTGCATACCATGTGATCTTCGACTGTGAAGCTCTTACTAGGTGACGTTTCATCTTTTTCGCCCCAGGAACACTTGGTGAGGAACTTGTTAAAACTAACCAAAGACACAGGACTATTCCAAAGATAGTACCTGAATACGGGGAATACAATAGACCCAAGAGGCCGCAGTGTTCTGGGCCAAACCTAACCCTACCTGCTTATAACCGATAAAGATAAAAAAACGTGACAATTATCATAAGAAATTGTCTTTTCGCCTAATAAATCGTCCTATAATAAGGAGAAGTCACACTACTCAAATATTAAATAATAATCACTGTTTTCACGGTCAGGACATCGGCAATGGTCTTAGACAATCATAGTGGAAGAGAATACTTCTTTGAAGCCTCTGAGAAGAAATCCTTACACACCAGAATGTAAATAGTATGTTATTATAAACAAATTTGTATATATTGTAAATAAAAGTAATTAAGAAACTAACCATTTTAATTTTTCACATACATCTCCTGGACAATGAAGATTTTATTTATATTGACCAATTCTTATCATTATTTGATTCTGATTATGTAAAAACGATAGTGCAAGTCCTTGATTTGATGTTGTTGAATGTAATCTTATTTTTGGGTCTCTTAATGACATTTTGAAAATTTTGTTCTTTTGTACAAAAATCCTTAATGATAAAATTCTGAGATTGAAATAATATATCCAATTTTGTGGAATAAACATAATTTATTAAAAAAAGAAAAATATAAAAGTATCCAGTCATTAAATATATAAACGTAGGCATAAAAAATAACAAATAGTGATACACCTAAACAGGAAAAAATATATAAGAAATAATGAAAATACAAGGTTACAAAAAAGTAGAGAAAAATATTCTTAAACCTATTCTGGTCAGAATGGATGAGCGCTAATAGTATGAGCTCTCAAATCCTTTGGTAAATCGAAACCCATATTACAAATCGAACAAGAAAACAGCGGTTTGCTGACGGGTGCCTGCGCAATTCGCTGCTTCTCGTGCACCTTCAAATGTATCGTCAACGAGTTCTGTTTCTCAAACACTCTATCGCAATGATGACACCTGAATTCAGTCACAATATGCTCCTTATGGAACTGTCTCATATGGGCACCCAACGTGTCAGACCTGCTGAACGCAGCGTTGCAATGTTTGCACGGATAACTCTTAGGTTTCGGCCCGGGCGGAGTTTGTACTACCGGCTTGATGTCCTGCTGTTGCAACATCTTCTGTTCGTGCAGCTTTTGGCGTTCGAGGAAATCGTGCAAACGCTTGTGGGTCTCGTACTCGTCCTGTGTGGCAAAATCTTTGTTACAAGTGTTGCAGCGTGGTATCAGCATAATAGCGCTTACGCTTCTATGCTTTTCTAAAATATGCACCTGCAGAGCCGTATCGTTGGGTAATTCGGCCAGGCAGGTAGCGCACTGGTATCTAGGATCCATCGGTTCTTCCTTGACGACCACTTTAGGCGGTAGTGGTACTGAATTCTTCATGACCTTAGTGTTTCCTTCATTTTGGGCGCGTTTGTGCCAACCCACGTGGGTGGTCAAAGCGCCGTTAGTTTGGAACGACTTTTGACAGATATTACAAGTGTGCTGAAGTTCAGGTTGCACCTCTTTAATGGGTCTCTTTCTAAGTCTTTCATCGTGTTCCAGTAACATGTGCTGCGATAATTGAGCAGTCGATTCAAACGGAACTTTGCAATATTTGCAGAAAATCGGTTGAGCTCCCTTTTTCGTTTCTTGATTGTGTTTTTCTTTGTGTTTTTTCAATGCGATCTTGCTGCTGAAAGTCATTACACAGATGTCGCAAGTGAACATCATGGGACCCGCTGACATTTTTTCTTCACATTCATCAATTTCCTCCTGGGTGTGATACTCTTGTTTGTGTTGAATTAAATCGTCATTATTTTCGAACACTTGCTGACATATTTTACAAACGACTTTTCTTAATACCCTCTTGCTAGCCGGATTGATGTTGATGCCGTGGCACTTCAAGTGGTTCTTCAAGTTGTATTTATTTGAAAATACTTTGAAACAACGCTTACAAGTATGATAAGATTCTTCTTCGGCTGGTTCGACTTTTCTTACTCTAAGAAGCGATCCTTTGCTTTCGGTAGCATCTCCAGGAGCTGGTTTGTCATGGATCTGTCTATGTCTGTAGTAAGCAGCGCCGGTAGTGCACACTTTACCGCATTCTTTGCATTCTTTGGGATAAGTATTAGCATTCGGAGTCTTCCTTTCTGGGTGCTTCACTCTGTTATGCTCCCATAAACCCGAATAACTGTTAAATTCTTCGGTGCACAACTCGCATTTATATTTCCTAACATCCGGAGTTACCACATCGACATCATTGCTGCCACCATCACCCTCCAAATCCATGTCCATATCCATTCCCATGCCTAGGGTTTCGTCGTGCGTCAGCTTATGGTTTTTCAAATCCTCTTTGGTGGGGAACATCACGTCACAAATTTCACACAAAAGCATCACCTCCCCGTCCGAACTAGGACTGACCATCGTGCTTTTATAGGATTGAGTCTTCGAGTCTCTATAAACCTTGATATTCAAATGTACGCTTCGGTGATGGTCTAACTCTGTTTGGAATTGGAAAAATTTTCCGCATTCTCCGCAAGGTTTGTTCTGGTGCTTTTCGGTCAGATGGATTTTCCATTCCAAAGTGTTGAACATCCCTCCGCAATCCGGACAGGAATAAAAGGCTTCCTCCTCGTCCATGTCCCCTTCTTGCGGTGGTTCGTGCTGCAATTGATCCTCGTTTTTATGGGTCTTGTAATGGCGCATCATATTTTTGTAAGAAGAATATTCTTTGTGACAAACCGGGCAAACGCGGTTATTAGTCTTCGGAGTGTAGAAAGTCGGTTTAACAACAGCGGATGGGACTAGTTCATCTAATCCATCATCGTCCATGAAAGGATTTTTAACCGAAGTCTTTCGTTCTCTTTTACCGGTCAATATAAAGGATTCGTCAACGCCTGACGTTCCAGGACTGCTGTGCATAGCTGGTTTTCTAACTTTGTAATTATCGTCTTGTAGAAGGATAAATCCTTCAGATTCGTCGTGAACCTCAGTAGCATGCTTTTGGAAATCACTTAAAGTCTTCGTAGTTATGAAACATATATCGCAATAGTATTCAACCAAACAACTGACGTACACGTGATCCTTATAATCATCTATATCCTCGAAAACCCTTCCGCAAGGACAATGAATAGGGAACTGCAACATGGAATGATCCAGATCGACGTGCGTGCAAAAATCTTCATGGAAACTAAACATAAATTTACAAATGGTACATTTGAAGTTCTGATACAGCCGCGTTTTCACCTCAGTACGCTGGGTCAAGTTGCTGAGCTTCGTTATGGAGTTTAAAGCTTGACTGGAACACCTCGAAATATGTCTGGTAAACGTTGAACGATCGGTGAACGTTATCATACAATTATAGCAAGTAAAAACCGGAAACCATATTCGCAGCGCTCTTAAATGGGACAATAAACCCTTCAAATTCTGATGGGGCACGTTGTGACAAGCACAGACCAAGGTTTTGTGCATGCTGACCATAGCTTTGCACTTTTCTATATAACTCAGTTCTATTTTGGAGAGTGACGAATTCGTAACTGTTTCTGCACTGCTTTTAACCAATTTTAATCCCATGCCGTATAAGATTTTTCTTTGCGATTCTTTGACGACGTCTGAAGCTTGAAGTTCTCCGTTAGTAAGGCCTGAAAAAAAAATATTTATTTAGTCCAAAGTTACGTTGTTTAAAAGTGCTGTGAAAAGTAAAGGGGGATTTTTATGGTTACATGAGGTCTGTTCCAACAACGATCAAAAACTAGGATTTTCCGCAGTAGATAATTTGACTGGTTTCTATTCATTGTTGGAACACATCTATAGAATACATTCAAAAAGTTACTAAGTTACGTCATAAAATAAGGATAATGTATTTAAAATTGAAAAAGAAAGTGTAGGTACCATGAAATTACTGAACATAGGCCAATATCTGTAAAAAAATGATGGTTTTCATCTGTTTGTTAAAAAACACAATTTTTAAAATACAGTATAAACTGCGAAATAGGTGGGATATTTGGAACAGCAGTGATGGATAATGTTTTTTAACATTTATAATGTCAAGCAACATAATTATAGGTACCGTTTCCTCTTTCTGCTATTCTCGAATTAGTTTTTAATAAATCAAACAAAAATGAGAAATAAATGATAAAATAACAAACATATTGACTAACAAAAATCAGTAACATAAAATGTACATTTATCTTCTATTCAGTTGAAATTCCTTAATTTCATAGTAGAGCAGGGAAAGGCTTTTCGCAGTTTTCCCACTTCATACAAAGAATTTGACAGTTTTACCGCGGGGCTAACCGAAGTGAACGCGAAACAAAGGCGTAGAAAATTATTTTATAGATACGAATAACAATTATACAGTCCGTTGCAATTTATAGCTTTAAAGATGAAGGAAGGTTGTGTATTAGCCAGACCAGGGACGGTGCTCCCAAATGGACTTTAAAAATTAATGTTTTCTGTTTGGAGAACAAACATGATAATGTTAATATTTCGTAAGAATGTTTGTAAGATTTTTTAGTTTTCCTAAAGACCCTAACCTTAGCAACAAGAGGTTGCATCTTAGCAAGAGGAAAGATAAACTTAATATAAAAAACCTTTCCCGCAAGATTCGTGCCAAAAATCCCAGAGACCAATTTTACAGCGAAAGTATCGCGTAAAGCAGGGGTTCTCAATCTTTTTCAAAGACTGTACCCCTTAATGAAAAATTAAAATTTTGCGTACCCCCTTGTTATGGGGGATGGGGTTTATCGGGGTATGTGGGTGGGTGGAGGAGGAGTTAATTAAAAACACGATTCATTTAAAAATATATTTGAAATGCATTACAAAACATTAATGAGAAGGATGAGCTTGCTTATTTTTACAAAGTTGCTCAATGTTTGGCTCAAGCTTTGTTAAATACAACCTTAAATCGTTCTCAACATTCAGCTTGTTTCTGTACTTATTTTTTAGATAAGTTAAGCTCGAAAACCCTCTTTCACATAGGTATGTAGTCGAAAATCCAATAAGAATTTTTACAGCATTATTTGAAAGTTCTTGGTACTCCTTTCCAACACCGATACAAAAATCTGTTTTTTAAAGTCTGATCACATGATAGTTCAATTAGTTGTTCCTTCTGGAATGTCCAACTTTTTATCCGTGGGTGGGAAGTATTCTCTTATACTGGACTTCAATGAGCTGAGGTGACGCTCAATTTGAGTTTTAAGGCAATCAAAAGCAGATATGTTTTTTCCGTTTTCATCCAAAAATGGGTTTAATTTTTCAAAAGCATTACAGTTGTTGTTTTCTATTTCATTTTTCCAGAGTGTAATATACAAAAGCTACAGGTACCTATGTAATAACAATTTACACACAATGATTAATTAATTACTTAAATCCCAATCCTAATGGTATTAATACACAGTAATGTTAAAACCTTATTATACCAATTTAAATAAAATCTTCCTATATATAATTCCTGTTTTCAATAACATTTAGTTTGTAGTTTGTAAGCAATTGTTAAAGATACGCGATTTGTGATAATGAATAAAATTTTAAGTGAACGTGGTAAATTTTTAATATTATATGAAGGACCTACATTCGTAAAAAAATATTGTTAAAACAACGATTTATTCAGGACAAAATCGATTATTACCTTCAAAATAAAATAACTCGCCTAGAATTTATAAAATGTGTATCATATATTTTGTTGTAATACCGTAATATTGGGAAATTTCAAATTTATACTTTTTTTGTTGAATCAGTTAAGTTAGACTTGATTTACGTATTTGTAATTTTTTTTATAACGGCCACATTACCTGTATTATAATTGTATTTCTTTAATAAAATAAAAATTCTTGTAAAATCGTAGTATTTTCATTTTATTGTTCTGAATGTTGACCGTAGCGGAGAGTTCAGGTAGAGGATTATTTTATTAAAATTTGTTTTGGGATTCCATAGCGGAGTTCGAATGCCTACTTAGTGATACCATTGTATAAAGAACTAAATAGTAGTCTCACCTTATGGAAGTTTCATTGGAGCGAAATGGATACTACCAATAGATGGCGCTAGTGAATATGGATAAGTCGATATTCGTTTGCAGTGGGCGGAGTTGAGGGTCCAGCAGAAATTTTTAAGAATGACTGAGACCGATCGATAAATTTCTATTTTTAGCTCTTGGATGAAATTTTATACACTCGTGATTGAATGTTTGGACTATTTTCTATCTAATGTTTGTTATTGTGCGTTAGTGCGTTTACGGGTAGTAGGTATTGTGAATGAGTTGTGTTTATGTTTTATTACTGAATTATTTTACTCTTAATAAAAGACGAGTTCCCAAAAAAAATTTGTGTAGGTATTTATAACTGTTTTGAAATTAATAAAATAGAAAATATGCTTTTGTTTTTCGTTTCCTTTACAGGTTTTATCCGAATTAATTTAAAATAAATTATATAATATTAATAATAGCAATAATAATACATTTCTTAAGTGTTGAAAAAATTGTATTTTTAATTTAATTTAAGTACTTAGCATAAGTAATTATAAACAACAGGTTATTTCTTTAATCTGGTGCGTAACAATGTAATAAAAAAAAACCCTTAAGATGGTTGGTAAATAATATAATTGAAGTAAACACAATGGGTTCTATAAGGATTATTGGTTGGGGTTCGGATTTGGGGGATAGGGTCGAAATATTGAAACTAAACTTGGTATATGGATGTATTATCCCATAAAAATAAAAATCGCTTTAAAAAATTTACGCCTCCCCACCCCTATCTGATATGGTGAGGGTAGCATTCCCAAAAAATTAAGTTAGAACTTTTTAAATAAAACAGTTAAAGTCTACGATTTTTTATACATAAAAACACAAAATTCCAATTTTTTTGAAAAAAAAATTCCAAATTTTTTTTGATCTTAGAAAAAATTTCGACTTTAATCTTCATAGTTCGGATGTGGGGGCTGGCATTTAAAAATAGTTACAAATACAAAAAAATCTTATTTTTGGCATATTTACAATAGAAATGATTTGCAACATTTTTGTATAAATATCTTACCACCACCATCTCCTAGAGGGAGATGGAGGGTGTGGCATTCCCAAAAAACAGTTAAAATCTACAATTTTTTATACATATAAACCAAAATTTCAATTTTTAAATCAAATTATTAAATTAAATTATTTTTTTAATTTCTTTATTATATTTAATATTATTTCTACTTTTTCTAACAATAATCAATTTAAGATATCTACTTTGATTGAGCCAAAATATTTAGTAGGGGAAGTTTTTAATATTATACAAACATACTGTGTGTCCAAAAAAATATATGAATTTGGCTAAACATTAACCTTTATTTCTAAAAACAGGAGAACAATGTTACTTGAAAAATGTATCTAGAATTAATATTATCCACCATCAAATCCTGGACCTGGACACAATTTTTTTTTAGCAATACGGGAGAAGCGGAAGTGACATTTTTACAAATGAAATTAATTTCAACAAATTTATTTGAGATCATGTACAAGATTATTCACTATTAAAGACACCTTTTATAACCACTATTGCATATTCAAAAAAAGCTTTAAATAAAAGTTTGTGAATATGACTGACTTTTTTTAAATATGCCATAAAAACACGTATTCAGATTTCACGGAATACAACACAAATAAACTTTTTTAAATGGGATACCCTCTGTTATTAAATTTCTGGGATATTTTTTTTCTAATTTCACAAATGTATATTATTGATAACCCTATCTTATACCGTCTGTTCTCGAGTAATTTAACGTTGATAATGTAAACATGAAAAAGTTAACATTATTAAAGTAAAAGCTATGAAAATCACAACTATTATGTTTGATAATAAAATAATCCAAATGGGTAGTTTACAGTGAGAAAGAAGAAGTGTAAATATTTATAAGATATTCGACATAGATTATCTATGATATTCGACGTTTAATTAATCAGGAAAGAATAAAGATCATTTCGAAAATATATGTATATCTATGCTATCCTTATTAAAAAATATTCATGTTAAATCCTGTGAAATATGCACACCACTGATATGGTCATTTAATGACATTTTTACAAAATTCGGTCAATGTAAACATTATACAATAATAATTATAGCATAAAGGGAGGGTAATTTATAATGAATAACCCTGTAAGGTACCATAAATTTTTAGTAAAAAAAATTTAATTCGCACTTTTTTACGTAGATTAAAGAAAAATGTAATTTTGTGCGTTTTCTTGGTGCAGACATTTTGCGACACACTGTATATTCAAATCCAAAATGATGTATTTTCTTTTAACACATACCTAATACAAATTTATTAGCAAAATTTAAATACTTGTTATTTTCGGTATATTTCTCCTTTAGACACACATTTTTAGTTTCATTGTCAAAAGATTTAAATAAAATTACCTGACCTTATAATATTCTATTATAATTTGATTATTAACGTAAAATTAATGTTTTGAAATTAATTTAAGTTTTACCAATTTAGAAAATAAAATTAAATAATAAAAAAAAAAGTTTCCGCTCGGGGGTTTGAACTCGGAACCCTTCGATTCGTAGACAAGTACTCTAAATTTTCGTTATGAACACTTATAAAAAAGTTTTACTTTTTAACGCTGATAATCAGACTGCTTTTAGTTTCATTAAAATCTCAG